GAAAGATCGAGAACACAAAGAAGCAATAGAGAACACGTCCTCCCTTCTCACTGACTGATCCTATTGCTGATCATGTGATTCATTCCGCCCGAGAAACCCGCTAAAACATTTTGCGACTAGATCTCGGTGAAATAACTTTTGGTAAAACTCCACGATTGACTCCGAAAAAACTATCACCGAAGAATCAAAAACTAAACGGAAAGATTTCTCGAAAAATGTGCGGAAAAAATTGTTAACCCAATGCGTCGCGTCGATTTACTAAATTCATCGCCCGTTGCTTACACGAGAAATCATTCGTATAGTCAGGATCATGTCATAACGAAGTAACTCTCGAAAGTAAACGTAACAGGTTTTGCGAAAAGTACTTTCCGTATAGCAAAAACCAAGCTATACAATCCGGCACTGGGCAGCCAATCTAAACTTTGCCTCCTCGCGACACGATCTGAAAGATCCCACTCTTTAGCCCATCGATTCACGAGCATCCGCTCTCATTCCTCCTGTTTACATCCGAGAATGAGACCGCCCCTCAAACGACTCCGCACGGGCTCTGCATCGAGCTTCTTAGGATCTGTCTACCTTGAGTAAAAAAGAAACAACTTCCATACAAAGGAAAGTTTATACGAAACTTTCATCGTATAAATCAAACCTACAACGGAAAAATGGTTTCTATAAACACGGGCATACTTGGCATATCAAGCTTGACAAACGCTACTCGGCTATTGTCCGATCGCGCTTCACTTCAATGCCAGGTTTAAAAACCAACTCGACCTTTTCGATAGCACGAAAGTGTCGCGGTCTAATCCTCTACCAAATGCGACCTTGGCTGTGCGGCTGAACACAACCTTCACGCCAAGCCAATACATTCAACGGATAATGCAAACTTGTCGAAAATCGGTTAAGTTCTGTATTCTCGTGATTCACTATATTCCCGAAGCAAGTTGCCTACAAAATCCGATGTATAAGAAAACACTCGTACCAGAGCTCCTAAAGCCGTACTAATCTCGGAAGGTCAACACTTCACAAAGCACCGTAACGAAAAACGCTTCGTACAGGGAAACAACTTACACGAACTCTCGGTCCTAATTGCTCTAGCACAAATCATAAAAATGCCTAACATCCAAACAGAAATTTAAGTTTTAATTGCGAATATCCGCAAACGAACCAAAGTATTCCTGCAAAGCAGGGTTAAGACAAAACCCTCGCAACACCGCGCAACATCTTCGAGCCCGCAAACGTTCCGAACACGAAACGCGGCATATAAAATAAAAACCAACTTTCGGCACTGCGAGACGTCGCAGACGCCCGGAGATTAATTTTTCGACATAAATTCGTTCCTCGATAAAGTCATTTTCTTGGAAGACCTGACAGTCCGTCCGCGACTATAAAATTACGCAAAACTTCTTAACGTACGTATCCTTCGCGAAGGCCAAAACAACGTAAACATTTATCGCCTAAAAAGTTTGTTGCTGATCACAACAAACTCGCAACAGTCCTAAACAAACTTAACTTATCTCGCAGAGATAGCTCTCGAACACCCGACACAAGGGTAATAGCGCTATAAAAGAAATCCAAACTCTTGGTCAGCACTTACGGGCAACTTAGAAATTGTTCCCGGTGAGATGCTCGGTTCCAACCAGACGAATCGTATAAGACGATAACCTATCGCGGATTCTAAATCGGTATGGAATCATGTTACAAATGCAACAGGCAAAACGAAAGCCAACTAGTCATCGCATAGCCTCAATCCGAAAGTAAACCTAGGTCTTGCCCTAAACCCAACACACTGGTCGCTAACGTCTCAAGTCATGAATCGAGATCCTAAAGGCATGTCTCTTTGTCTATATCTAAACGCTCACTCGATTTACTAAACATCCTAAAACGGGCAAACGAACAAGGCGATACACTAAGGGAAAAAGGAATGCGAGACGACAACTCGCGGACCTCCCTCAATATCAACTCATAATCTTCCTGCTACATTCATACGAATAAAAACACGCTTTTAAAAACGCAAACTGATAAAGCCGCAAAAGCGGCAGGGACTCAGAGCCTCACACGGCCAGTCCGAAAACTATAACGGCCACACTCAGCCAGACCAAACGGCCTACGAGGCTAGTCTCAAGGCCGGCAAAGGTCAAGATGCCATCGACATCAATATGCTCGATAAACATATAACTAGACCGTAAAGGTCTTGCTGGGAAACAGGTCATACGAACCTTAACTCCGAAACGAACTACGAAAGGCTTGATCCCCTCAAAAGGGTACGTAGGCAGCCTTCACAAGGCGCAAGCCTAATCTTAAACGCTTTCCGCTCCCTGGAGAGTGGAAAGATCACTTTCAACGGACCTTTCCGACCATTAATTCCGCCTAACTTAACTAAAACTGGTTAACCACTCACAAGAACCTTACACTAAAGGCTGAAGATTCTTACGAGCTGGGGGGCTAACTGTTGGGGTCAAAATCGGTACGAAGGAATCAACGGCCGAAACTTCCCGCAGAAATATAAAAGGAATTGTTTTGTAAAACCCGAAGAATCGTTTTATAAAACTCGAGGATTGTTTTATAAAACTCGAGGACCGTTTTATAAAACTCGAGAATCGTTTTATAATACCCGAGGATCATTTTATAAAACTCGAGAATCGTTTTATAAAACTCGAGGATCGTTTTATAAAATTCGAGAATCGTTGTATAAAACTCAAAGAATCGTTTTATAAAACTCGAGAATCGTTTTATAAAACGCGAATAATTGTTTTATAAAACTCGAGAATCAATTTATAAAACTCGAGGATCATTTTATAAAACTCGAGAAGCCGTTTTATAAAACTCGAAGATTGTTTTATAAAACTCGAGAAGCCGTTTTATAAAACTCGAGGGTCGTTTTATAAAACTCAAGAATCGTTTTATAAGACTCGAGAAGCCGTTTTATAAAACTCGAAGATCGTTTTATAAAACTCGAGAAGCCGTTTTATAAAACTCGAGAAATCGTTTTATATTACTCGAAGATCGTCTTATAAAACTCGAGAATTGTCTTAGAAAACTCGAGAATCGTTTTATAAAACTCGAGAATCGTTTTATAAAACTCGAGAAATCGTTTTATAAGACTCGAAGATCGTCGTATAAGACTCGAGAATTGTCTTATAAAACTCGAGAAATCGTTTTATAAAACTCGAAAATCGTTTTACGAAACCGCAAAAAAAACCAAAACAGCCATAAAACGCGAACTAGTCACGACTAGTTCGCCCACGGGCGAACTAAGCTGAGCCGGCTTAGTTCGCCAATGGGCGAAATAGGAGGTACTCGACTAGTTCGCCTATTGGCGAACTAAGCTGGTCCGGCTTAGTTCGCCAATGGGCGAACTAGGAAGTACTCGACTAGTTCGCCTATTGGCGAACTAAGCTGGCCCGGCTTAGTTCGCCAATAGGCGAACTAGGAGGTGCTCGACTAGTTCGCCTATTGGCGAACTAAGCTGGCCCGGCTTAGTTCGCTAATGGGCGAACTAGAAGCTTCCTGGACGTCCCGAGCCTCGATCTCCCTCATTCCCGATTCGAAACTTACGTCTTTCGACACGGTCGCATTCTGAACCATAGCCGAAACATCTCCCGTTCCATCTCGATCCGACCTATCGTTCGAGTTTTACGATAAAAACCGTAAAACTTTGCTTTCTCGATAAAGAACTTGAAGAAATTGTATAAAATGGCGACGGTTGACGGAACACCGAACATTGCCTAAAACATACGATTTATTCGAGATTTCTCGTCGAAATCGTAAAAAACGCGTTTTTAATAAAAACGTCGAGTAAATCGTAAAAAACGCGTTTTTAATTAAAAAGTCGAGTAAATCGTAAAACCTTACGTTTAGCTCGAGGAATTTATTAAAAATGACGTCAAATCAGGAAACGATCATGTAAAAAGTCGGAAAACGGATTTATCGCAAAAAACGGCCCGGAAGGGCCTAAAACGCGATAAAAACCCATCTCGCGATCTTAAACGGAATCTAACCCGCAGATTTGATAACGTTTTGATGGTTTACTCGAAGGAGGAAAATAGAAATCAAGTTAGAAGATTTCCGCGGAAGAAAAGGAAGGATCGAGAAAAATGGAAAATTCCCGATATAGTCAAATCTAGGCGAAATGGAAAGACCGGATGACCAAGGCGAGGAGTATATAAATAAGAGGTCTAGGGCAGAAGCAAGAGACACAATTTTTAGAGCTCTCACCACCAAAATTAGCATTTAGGAAATTTTCTGTTTTCGTTATCGAGCTGCGTCTCAACTAGGGTTTTAGTCTTAGATTGTTAGAACTAGGAATTTTGCCGACGGCTCACGCAGCTAAGGCAACTCTCGTTGTAACCGTTCTTACGCGAATTCGGAATAAGAATCCTTCTTGCTCTCAATCTCGTTTTTCTTTTTATATCTTTCAATTTATTCATATTAATCGCGTTCTTGGTTACTTGTCGTTGGCTTTCGCAGAGATCCGGTTCCTTTGGAAAATTAGGGTTTTCCTAAGTTTCCTTATTTAACAACAATCGACGGGTGTGAATTTCGGTTCCCACAGTACTGGACCGCCAGGTGTGGTATGATCGTTCCGCCTCCCAAAGCTCCCTTCCCCGCTCTGAACCATCGTGGCGTAGAAGCGGGGGCTCGAAGTAGAAGTTCCCATTCATCTCTCAAGAAAATCCGTGAGTTTTGTTGAATTTCGGACGGCGTGGAATTCTGAATTACTCGTCGTGGAGAGAGTGTCGATAACTCCCCGGAGGGATAATTTGCGTGTTACGAGGCATTCTTAGTACGCTGTCGTCTATGGTTCCTGATTCCAGAGATCATAGTCCTATTTCTTTGAGGTAGCGCTGGGCCAGTTAAACCCCACCGGTCTTCAACACCTTATTGGCCTCCTAGTGCTGAGCTATGAACACGATTTTTCTCTTACCGTTGATCACTTTGAGGCCCTCCTTAGGTTGCAGTATGTCTCGGAGCCGTGTACCTACCGGTTGAGCCCTCGAAAGTACATGTTGGTGATAAGGGATCCTATTTGGAAATGTGTTCCATGGAGGAAATACTTCTTTTTCGTTCGTATAAACACTGATTCGATAGATTAAGGTAGTGTCCCGTTGCTCAGGAGCAGATCGAACCTGACCCGTACATCAATCCCCTCGCTCTGTTTCCTGCCGATCTGGTGGTGGCGAGGGACCTTCTAAGAAATGGGCCATTTTTCTGGTCCTCTTTTACGCCAAGGAGGGTCCGCAAGTCATTGGCTCATTTCCTTTCCGGCTCCTGGGTGGCGGAGGATGTTGACTCGGACTCAGATGATCCTACCCCCCGTCATGTCCCTTCTAGAGGAACTGGGGCTGAGTCATTCAGAGGCATAAGGGTCGACCTTGGTGGCATAGAGTTTTCCGTGCACGACTCTGTGCTTCCTGGTTGGGATCCAAACCTTGCTTTTGGCGACGGCAGTGGTTCGAGTGATCTGTCGCTGCCTGACTTTGATCGGTTCTTTGCCGACTTTCCCGCATATCTTGACCCGCCTCCACCCGCAGAAGGATAGAAGAGGCTTGAAGCAATCGCGGAGGGGTCCGCATGATCAATGGGGTAAGCGTATATGTCTTGAAAAATATATGTTTGACGACACTACGAAGCGTTCTGATGTTTTGACCGTCTTTGCAGGGACTGAACATACTTAGCTCGGCCGTTGAGGTGAGCAACATGGAGGCGATGGTCTACCGCTTGAAAGCAAAGAAAGCGGAAAATGATCTTGCTCGCTTGCAGAACGAGGCCTTGGAACGAGAGTCGAAGCTTGTCAGGGATCACGCCACGGCCATCCGTCGAGCGGAGAGAAGAGATCGGAGGGAGGTTAGCTCTGTGATGAGCCAGCGAGCGTCTGAGTTTGAGGCTGAGCTTGGCAATCTCAGCGAGGCTTATTCCTTGGTGGGTGATTTCCGCGAGTGTTGCGCTTCAGTTAGTACCTTGTGGAAGACGCGGTTGGGCAAATTTAATTTTAAGGATGAGGTGGCGACCATGGAGGGCGGTAGGAAAGATTACGCCCATGCTGAGGCGTTGGTCTCCCCGATCGAGGGGAGGCTTCAGGGGTTCTGGGACCCCATCCCGGTCTCGCCCGATACGAAGGAGGCTTTGACCGAGGTTCTTGGGGAGGATGAAGAGGTGAACTGTCCAGCGAGCGCGTTTGAAGTTTCTCTGTCCGGAAACGTTAGTATTTAGTGGGGAGTGTTCCCTTGTATTTATAGCCAGTGTGGCTGTTTAGGTTTGATTGTACGCGGGCCTGTTTAGCCGTTTTATTTTTAATCGGGACTGGCCGTTGGTGGCTTTGAATCCCTGCCGTTGTATGGCTTTGTTCGAATTATGTTTAAATGAAATATTTGCAAGTGTGATTGCATTTATTTTGTTAAATGTAGAGGGAAAAGTACAAGTTGTCATATCGTATCTAACTCTTTTTTGTAGATCGTCCTATTCGTTTGCTCGTTCCGGTATGTTTGAAATTTTGTGAGCGTTTAGATATGAACGAAGAGACATGCCTTTAGGATCTCGTATCATGCCTTGAGACGTTAGAGATCAGTGTGCTGGTTTTAGGGTAAGACCTAGGTTTAATTTCGGCTCGAGGCTTTTGCGATGGCTAATCGGCTTTCATATTCCTTGTTGCGATTTCAACCTGATTCCGTACCGATTTAGAGTCCACGATAAGTTCTCGGATTATATGACTCGTCTGATCGGAATCGAGCATCTTAACGGAGACAATTTTTAAGTCGTCCGACAGTGTATGAGGACCGATGGGTCTAAGTGTGTGATATCACTCAAATATTTAACCTTAAGGAGTGAATTAATCTCTCAAAATAAGAGGTTCAGTTGTAGTACTTAGGGATCAAATCCACAGGGAACTGAGGAACACAAAAGATGTAATCCTAAGTGATTATGCTAGGTTGATTTAGTTTAAAATAGTAAATTGCAGTTGTGAGCAATGATAAGTTGCTCAAGAGAATATGTTTAGGTTTTGAAACAATAAAAGAAAGTAGTTAAATTCAAGGTTGCTATTCAGATAATCAGGATTATAATGCTACAGATGTTTTAGTAAGTTGCTTGCAAGATATATAAGAACTTCGATTCTTAGACAGATCCAATAGCTGTCGCTATATAGACTCGTCCAGTAATCTTACTACCGGCAATATCGACCGATGTTTTGACAGCGATATCGGACGATATGGGTTGCCGCCGATCGATTACTCTATAGGAGTATCGATCGATATAGCATAAGATCGAACCGAAACTGTGTTCACCAAGATCATAGAACGGCTCTCGCACATCCCTAGAGGATCTAAGCTTATGCCAAATGATTTCAGGATAATGATTAACAAGTTAAATCATTCCATGATCATACTCTAGTTAGCTACTCTAGAGTAAGCATTATGGTTCATCTGGATAATGAATATCACAACTTAACATTCCATAGTTGGGGCTAATCCCTCATAACTATTTGAACCCTAAATCTAACAAGGGAATCTACTCAGACATGGCTAAGTGATTCATAGCAGCAAGGTAATAATAGAAATTCATAAGATTAGAATATTGAACTCTTGGTTCTTTGGAACAACAAATCTCTTTATGTTTTTCTTTTAAATCTAGAATTCTATAACCTTTGACAATTAAGATGAAAAGAATACTTTATTGCTAAGTATAAAATAGTATCACAAGCACAAAAATTTTAAAATCATACAAAGACATGCTTTGCCAAAACACATAGGCATAACTATAAATATGAGTTCAATTAGGTTAAAAACTCGTCAGAGGTAATCTTGTAATATTGGGAAAACTTAGGCTTCAAGTCGGCCAAGTTAGACTTGTTTTTCACGCTTCATATCGATAGATGGTACATGGCGTACATCGATCGATGGAGTATCTCGGCTTCATCTTCTATGGAAGCGTCATCGATCGATTACACAGGATGTGTATCGATCGATATGTATATCTGGATATCGACCTTATTGTCTGATCTTCATAGTCATTTCAGAAAACTCTTCTTTAAGCTCCATAAGGGCACCTAAATCATCACTTTACTCCAAAATGCTCCTGAACCTAAAAACATACCTAAGAGACTCCAAAACATATATATAATTTATAAAATCATCAATACCATGGCTAAAAGTGGGTCAAAACCATGGTATATCAACTCCCCCAGAATTAATCTTTTGCTTGTCCTCAAGCAAACCATTAGTTAGTCTTTTGGAATAAGTTTAAAAACAGTAGGGACTCAATAAAATCTTAACTTTAAAATCATCACCTCTACTTTGTTACAAGCCACATCTCATATTACTAACTACAGAAGCACATTATACCATATCCTAGCTTAGCAACCAAATTCATTTAGCCAATCAATTTAACCAATCATGTCTGTTTATCCCCTCTACTGATTTCATTTATTCATAAAATAAAGGTGTAGGCTTTACCTTGGGAGTATCGATCAAAGAACACTTGGATTCAACTCAAGCAAGTTTCATGCATTCTCATCTTGGTTCCTTTTCTCTCTTTATCTCCATTCTCTGAATCCCAAATTTTCTTTTTCTTTTATATCAATCCCAATGAACATCATATGTTCATCTTATTAATTGTTCTACTACTTTTTGTAGTCTATTCTGACAAAGTGTAGGCGAATAGTGGGGTGATAGGTAATTTACCTCTCCCTCGCTTCCACAATGTGTGATCATTCCTTTGAATTAGAATAGTGGGGTCATGGGTAATGTACCTCTCCCTATGCCTCTCAGGAAATCATCTCAAACTTTTATTTTTCTCTTTATGGGATGCCAAAGGAAGGAGAGAAAGAAACCAAAATTATTGAGACTTTTACCTTCCAGACTTGCATGAGGATTCCGATCCCTTGTATACCAAGCCCCAAGACAAGCAATAGATGTCAGGTTAGGTTGGAAATCAGCTTTGGTTCTTCCAAACAAGCATGAAAAGTGTTGTCATAGGATGATTGGTGATCCACTTTAGCATCTATAGTACTTTCTGCAATTAACAATTCTAAGAATGGTGCTAAAGAGTGGTAAGATAAAGAGCAAAATTTTTGAAATCTTTTTGTCCCTTTCTTTACTCAATAAAACCAATTTTTGAAAACATTTAATGAGATCAAAAAGGTAAAGTAGCATCAGTAATTCCACTCCCTCAGACTTAAATCATACACTGTCCTTAGTGTATAACTAGTCGGAGTTAGAGCATAAGAAATAATAAATGTATAACTGATATCGAAATTGTGAACGATATACCTGACCGATGTTCGTATCGATCGATGGTGAGTCACTTCCATTGATCGTCATGGATGGGTATATATCGAGCGATATCAACAGTATCTCATTGGTCGATATGTAGTGATTGTGTAGCTGTGTTCCTAAAAACAAAATAAAAACGAAAGTAATAAGTAAAATTAAAAGAAAAATAAATAAGAAAATACCTAACAGTGGGTTGCCTCCCACTCAGCGCTTAGTTAAAGTCATTTAGCTTGACTATGGAGGTATGGTGGCTAGTGAGGTGGGTTGCTGGTACTTGTTGGGAAATAAGTATCCTCCTTGTCTTGTGATTCTTCAAACCATGAAGTTAAGAAGCTTCTTGTGGCTTTCTCTCTTCTGGTCATACTAGCCTGCAATCCTTGGACCTCATAGTGGAGACTCTGTAGCCATTCCTCAATGGTTGCTAATTTGCAGTCATGTTGTCCAATGTTGCTGTAGGTGTGCTCTAGATCAGTACTTATCTTCAGTATGTCGAGGTTTTGGGTGTTGTGCACAGGGGAAAGGATGGTATCGACCGATCTCGGTGTAGGTCTATCGGTCGATGTGGATGGATATCCATCGGTCGATGGGTTTAGAGGCATGTCGATCGATGCGGATTGTGCAGGTTGGCTAGCGAGCTGGTTCTTGATGCTTTTGATCTCCTTCTGAATTTCCTCTGTTGTGCATTTCAATCCCTGAACGTCACTCTGTACCAGGAACCAAAATTTGTCGAGTAATCTATACGCTTCGTCTTCACATGCTTCAATAGATCTGTAGATCTCTCTTGTTGTCTCTTCAAGTTCTCCCCTGGTACAGAAATCTGGTGCGCGATTATCGATCGATGTGCTGGGTATATCATCCATCGATAGCTTCTGTAAGTGACTCTAGATAGGATTATCGAAGGTCGTGTTAATCGATGCTGATAGGTCTGTATCGGTCGATTTCAGCTTACGGGATTCTAGTTCATTGCAAAGTGCATTCACCTCTTCTTGCAGGGATTTTCTCTCTTTGCGAGTCATTGCCAAACAGATTCCACAGTAATTTTCCTTGAAGTGATGCTATGGCTTTCTCATGTTCAGACCTCAATGCTGCCATCTCCCAGTTATGTTCACCAGTTCTTTCATTCAGCATATATGTGACCTCTGCTTGTGTGTAGAGCTTGCAAACTGGAATTCCTTTAGCAAATTGTTCAGCGTGTTCTGGTTAACAGAAACAAGAGCGCCCAAACAGTGTGGCTCCATTCAGCAGCTTCTCAATATATTCTTTGTTAACATGGATGATGTCGCCAGCTACGCTTCTTGCATAACCATTCTCATCTCTGTAAACAACATATTCGTCTTTATTTTCCCAGAAGAAACGACGAACCCCGAATTTGAAAGCTCTCTTCCCAAACTCGCGATATATATCGGTCGATGCACATCACCATGTATCGATCGATGCTCGTTGAAATTCTGGATATGCTGAGTTGAGGTGGAGGTTTTCTGTACCATCTTGCTTATGAAGTGTTTGTTGCTGGTTCTGATCGTTCTGGTGGATGGGTGGTTGTGTGAAGGGGCTGACTGGTCCATTGGCCATCTGAAGGATGTCTGCAACGTCTTCTTTGGAGATTGGAACGATTCTTCCATCTAGTGCTCGTGCATGGCCTTCTGGATCTCTGAAAATACCAAATTCATCCAGAATTAGTAATGTAAAATCGAAATTATGTGTTTGTACCTCGGATGGTGTAGTGGTGTTATCAATCGATGGAATAGAAGGTGCATCGGTCGATCTGTTGAGGAACATGTCGATCGATGGTTGGTGCTCCGTGTCGGTCGATACTTGTGCTTCAGGTTGGATCGCAGGTTGTAGTGGTGCTGTATCTACTGCAAAACTCTCATTGTAACTGCTTGCCCAACTCCCAATCGAGTAATCTCCATCGTGTGGCTCATGTGGGACATAGACTGGTGC